GTGTAGCCGCGAAACGAGAGGTCGCTCAGTGCACTGTGCGGCACTGCGTTGGGGACGACGTTTGAACGCCGCGTCACCTCCATCAGCGTGGCTTCAGTGTACGGCATGCGCGTGCGGTCGCCGTAGGTCGGCGGACTTGCGCCGAGAACAGCGTCGATCTCGCGCTGCACGCGACTCTGCACCTCCGGATGCTTGACCATGAAGAGCAACGCCCAGCTCAGAGAGGTGGACGTCGTCTCCATGCCAGCGATGAACAAGTCCATGCCGATGATGGACAGGTTGCGTTCGGTGAAGAGGCGAGCCTCAGCGTCTGGCTTCTCCATCTCCAGCAGAAACTGGTCGATGAAGTCGCGGGGGCTGGAGCGGTCCAGCGTCTGCCGATGCTCGTGGACCACCTCGTGGAACATGCCAATCGTGGTCTCGCGATGTCGAATGAGCGGCGCGTAGCCGCTCCACTCGGGGGCGATGTGACGCAACCACGGCGCCAGGTTCATCGGGCTACCCGGACCGATGGAAGCGAAGAATTCGTTGACCGTCGCGATGTAGTGTTGGGCCTTGGGATCACTACTCTCCAGCCGCTTGTCGGCGACCAGTCTCCAGAGTATGTTGAGCACCGTCAGGTTGAAGCGGAAGTTTACCTTCATCGGTGAGTCAATTTCACGCTTCATCTCTTGGGAGAGCTCTTCGAATTCGCTCAAAACTGTCGACTCCATGGAGTTTTTCCCGAAGCCCAGGTCCCTAAGGTGCCTCAAAGCAAAGCGTCTGTGCTCTACCCAGGCAGGGCCTTCGCTGAAAATGACACCAAGCTTTTGTTGGAAGCTGCGGACTAGCAGAGCAAAGCTCTTCGGTCTTCCAGACAGCTCGTGCATTGCACAGGCCTCTTTAATGTCTTCAAACTTGCAAATGTGCACAATCTTGTCACCAGTTGGAAGCACAAAGCCAAAAATATCTCCAAACTCGTGCCGGGAATGATTTATGCTCGCCAGAAACTTGCCCCGAATCGACCCAATCACCGTCCAAAGATTGCCAAAGATGAGAAATGTTGGAGGACCTGAAAAAGAACGCATTGTTTAGTCTCAGCCCATTTCACTCTGAGTCATTCAGCGATTCGTTTCACCGGAATTGTCCTCAAAATCTGGGCCGTGGTTGCACCGGCGTAGCATAGCAGTCGTAGCATAGCATCAGGAGTAGGAGAAGTAAATGTTTCATGTGTGCTATACTTCGCCCCAAGTTAAGTGTAACATATAAAAGCCGCGCACGTTGCAATTAAAGACAGCTTCCTGCGAAACTCCGTGATAACGTAGGCCTGCAGGTGGTGGACAAATGCAGATTTTTTCGGAAAACATCTCCACTTTGATTTCTTAAGGAGCAATGGATTTGTATTTTTTGGAGAAAAGTTTTTACCTCCTGCGTCAGAAGCAATACTTCATGGCACATCAATAAAAACCTGGGAATGTTGAGCCACACATTTTCGCCGGTGCCTGTCCATGAATACGCACTTGTGCGCCTACGCAATGAACACCCAGTGCAACCCACAGGGCGTGAGGATTATGTTCAATGGGCACCCTACAATCAGATGGTGTGTTCTCTACAAGCCCCAACTGGCCTTATCCAGGTCAAAATGTGTCCTCCGTAGGTCAGAAATCGCCCTCTACAGGCCGGAATGGGCCTTTATGTGCGGAAATGGTTCATTGGAGGCCTCAAGGAGCCCTCAACGGGTCATGATGAGACGTTCACAAGCCAAATTGGGCCTTCAACAGATCAGAATTAGTCATCTAACAGGATAGAATGTTTTTTGAGTCGATAATGAGCTCTCTGCTAATGAGAGCGGCCTTCACAGTTAATTATGACAACTTTACTGGACAGAAAATGCCCATTCTAGGCCTGAATGGGTCCCTGCACATGGAAACGTAGACCCTGCATTAGTCCAGAATGAGCCTTTTGCAGGCAAATATGAACAGCGTACTCGTCAGTCCACACGCTTAGAATGACCCTCTTTCAGTCGAAATAAACCTGCATAGGTCTGAATGAGCCCTCGACAGATCAGAATGAGCTTCCACAGACTTACATCATCCCGTAACAGCTCAGAATGGCCCTTACAACAACACAGAGGCGCTTAGTATACCATAATATAGCAGAATTGGCCCTCCACAGACACTACAAGATGAAGGGGGCGCCTCCAGCTTTCAAGAGAAAGGGGAGCGAGCTTCCCCACTATCTCCCTCCCCTTCCACAAACCTCCCCTCCCCCCCACCCCCTCCGCTAAGTTCTCGCGCCTTCGGTCACCCAGCAAGCTGTGTGGGCGCAAATACGTACCCGGCGGAAAGTTGGACGGTCGCTGCGGCCTCCGAATCCACAAGAACGCCGTCACCAGCAGCAAGAACACAGCGAGAGCCCACATGACAGCGAGTACAGGCCGCGCCGCCGGAAACCGCTCAGCCGGTGGCCTCCCAGCGCGCGCAGGAATCCACGACTACCCGGTGTCTCCGCGACACGCTCTCTCTCTCAGAGCCCCGGTTCTCGCGCCGGGCAGATCCCCTGTCCTTGGTTTGCAGACGTTGCCAGGGAGTGTGTTGCCAGATCGAGGACAGCCAGTGGTAGTCGGCTGGTCACTGGCATCGCCGCGGCCGCGAAGGTCGCTATAACTTTAGCGGTTTCTACACATCTCGTGGTAATCTCAGGTTATTCAACTATCCATTGCCGCGAGTTATCTTATGCTCTATCCGTCACCAAACTACCACTAGATGGGCCATCGGAGGTATGTCGTTCAAGAGCTTCAGAGATAGCAGCTTTTGTGCACGGAATATAAAAACCACTGCATGTGACACTTCCTGTTTTATTTTTCCTGGTATCTTACAGCCCCGTTAAATTTCTGATTGACTTAGCAGAAGCGTTAGCAGGTCGGAATAAAAGACAGATGACAGCTTCGCCCTGAGGCCGGGCACGTCTCTGTCCGAGTGCCACAGGTTCGGATCGCCGCCGGTCCACGGCCAGTCCGCCGAACCCAGTCGACACTGTCCGTTCGCGTGGGTCCGCTCGAAAGCCTCCAGGGCGCGTCGTTCTGACAAGGGTAGCTGCCGTCCACGACTGGCATACAACGGCTGGTGGCCACCGCTTGTCAGCCATTCCCAGCGATCCCTTTCTCGGACTCTGAGGCGGAGTTTGAACATGTGTCCAAAAATCGGGTTTGCTGTTCTGGTTCAGACTTGATCCTTGATCCAATTTAAAAACCCGAGTCCCTTTCTCATCCGGTTTCATGTGTTCGAACATGAGCCAAGTCCTTGGAGATTGAGCTGTGTCCTAGTCTAGCCCTAGAGCCTCCCAACAAGTGACAAGTGTATCAATACGAAATCCCAAAGGACAAATAAGTTACATGTCCCATAAGTGGTGCCAACATTATCAAAATTGCATTGTATTACATATTTAACCCATCCATGCAGTATCGCTATTCACGATTAGCGTCATCATGTACAAGGTATAACACAAAAGGTACAAAGCAAGGCAGCCACACATTGCACGCAAAAGCTGCTAGTCAGAGGAGTTTCCCCAGAAGCCAATGGAGCCAAGCACAGAGCGAGCGGCTCTCACGCCCTCAGTGCTCTCAGAGACGCACGAAACGCGGACAGTGTCGGACGCTCAGTGGCGGCCGGAGGCAGCTGGTTCCACCAGGCGGCAGCACGGTCGCGAAACCCGCTCTGTGGGGCCGAGACTTCGTACTTGCAGTGTCACGTCTCCGGCCTCAGATGAGTGGGTGGCCCGGTAAGGACACTGCACTTCAAGGGACAAACATGCGACGAATTGTCAGCGAGCTTACACATGAAAGTCTTCAGCTTATTGATGTTCTCACTGGTTCCGATTAAGGTGAAGTGTGTTTTTCTGAGCTCACCTTTAGTGAATTTGGTCTGAACCTGCGCTGGGATGTCCCGAAGGAGCCTTTAATAAGCCGTTTTAGTGATTTTACATTTCCAGGGTTGGGTGGCGAGTGTTCAAGCAGCTCCGTGTGGTCAGCAATGCTATCACTCGACAGCCCAGTCAGAGACGGTGAAGATCATTCGTAAACAAGCTGAAGAGATTCAACCCGAGGTTCAAAATAGGCCTCTGGGGCACCTCGAAACGGACCGGCCGAGTCGCCGTACCGCCTCTCGCCAGCTGCCTCCGGCCGCTCAGATAGCTCCAGAGCGACGTTGGGTCAACAACGTATCATACCAGCTTGTTCAAGAGCACGCCATGGTCAATACTGTCGAAGGCTTTGCTGAGGTCGCGGCGGTAACTGTGGAAATCTCACCGCGTTCTGAGTTTTGATTGATTCGTTCGACAGCGCCGAGCGCGGCTTCCTTGGTGCAGAGGGAAGGCCTGCACGCATATTGATCATGAAACAAAATGCTGCGATTACATGGATACCGAGAGAGTTGATCACGGAAATTTTCTCAGCAAGTTTAGACAAGTGAGGTAGAAGGGAGATCGGAAGATAGAGAGCTCGTACACGTCGCCTCTCGCTTTGTAGATGGGGAACCACCTCGGATGTGTTCCACTTTCGGGAAAAATCCTCTCCGTCACAGACGCTTTAACAATGCACAGCTGATGCGGGCTCATCACTATGAAACAACGCTTGACTACGCTTAACGGTACCCCAGTCTAAACGGACCGCTTCAGACGAATTCATGCGTCTCACAAGTCCCGCCAACTGCGGTTGGGATGACTAGCTGGAGCTGCAACGCCGCCGAGGCGGCGATGGGCGGACGCGGGTCCGGATCGGCCGTGACGTCGTCGCTCAGGTCGGCTGCGATTCGAGAGTTCACCGACGAGAAGAACTCGTTGAAACGGTCCATTCCGCTGAAACGGTGTCCGGTGGTTGACTGCTGACCGTCCGTCCCTTGTCTCCCCACAGCGGCCGGCCTGCGCTGTGTCCAGTGACTGACCACTGACCGTCCGTCCCCTGTCTCCCCACAGCGGCCGGCCTGCGCTGTGTCCAGTTGTGTCGAGCGACTGACCACTGACCACCCCCTGTCCTCCAGGGGCGGGCACAAGCAAAAACGCTTCGCGCTGTGTCCAGTGCCTGACTTCTGCCCGACCGTCCCCTGTCTCCCGCGGCAGGAAGTTTGCGCTGTGTCCAGTGCCTGACTTTTGACGAACTGTCCCCTGTCTCACGTAGCAGGAAGCTCGCGCTGCGTTCAGTGCCTGACTTTTGACCGACCGTCCCCTGTCTCCCGCAGCAGGGAGCTTGCGCTGTGTCCAGTGCAGCTCCGGGACGGGCACCAACGTCTCTCACTGCGTCACGGTGCTGCCGCCGCCCAAGCCGTGCGGTGCCGACCTCAGCCACTGCATCACGCTCAGCGAGTACCGCAACCTCGGCGTCCATGGCACAGGCGAGTCGTCTACGGTGGGATCCACCGGGTGTCTGTGAGCCATCCGGTCATGCCAGTAAGCCGTCCGGTGATGTCTGTAAGCCATACGGTGATGTCTGTAAGCCATCCGGTGATGTGTGTAAGCCATCTGGTAATGTATATAAGCTATCTGGTCATGACCGTAAGCCATCCGGTGATAGGTGTAAGCCATCCGGTAATGTGTGAAAGCCATCTGGGGATGTCTGTAAGCCATCTGGCGATGTCTGTGAGCCATACGGTGATGTCTGTAAGCCATCCGGTGACGTCTGTAAGCCATCCGGTGATGTCTGTGAGCCTTTGGTGATGTCTGTAAGCCTCCCGGTGATGGCTGTAAGCCATACGGTGGCGTATGTTAGCCACATAGTGATGTCTGGAAGCCATACGGTGATGTATGTGAGCCATACGGTGATGTTCGTAGGCCATCCCGTGATGTCTGTAAGCCACCCGGTGATGTCTGTAAGCCATACGGTGGTGTATGTTAGCCATATAGTGATGTCTGGAAGCCATACGGTAATTATTTGAGCCATCCGGTGAGGTATGTAGGCCATCCCGTGATGTCTGTAAGCTACCCGGTGATGTCTGATCCATCCCAGAGAGCCATTTGTGAATGCCTACTGCATACCATTTATTCTTACGAGACAGCTACTATATCTCATTGAACCTTCTC